GGAGCACTGGGTGTTATGCACAAACAATGAATCATGGAACACTTCATCTAGAACTAATGATGTAATGTATGGGGATTAACATAAGAATAAAAAAAAATTAAAAAAGGAAATATATTCTAGGAGAGTCAATTTATACACTCCATAGTGGCCAAAAAAAGCAAATTGAAGTAGAGGGACATGGGACATTGTTGTTGTTGTTGTTGTTGTTTAAGATTTATTTATTTATTTTAGAGAGAGAGCACACACATATGGGGAATGGGGGGACAGCAAAGGGAGAGAAAGAGAGAAACTCTAAGCAGACTTCATGCTGGGCATGGAACATGACATGGGGCTCGATCTCATGACCCTGAGATCACGACCAGAGCCAAAACCAAGAGTCGGATGTTCAACTGACTGAGTCACCCAGGTGCCCCGAGGGACATTGTTTTAAAGTCAGATTTGAATCCCAGCTTTGTGTCTTCCTAGCTATGTGACCTTGGGTGAATCACTTCACCTCTCTGAGCCTCAGTTTCACACCTGTGACAAGGACTAATGATATCTTTCTTGCAAGGTTGCTGTGAAAACTGAGTTAAGCTAAAAAGTACATTTGGCCACAGTAAGGTGATAGCTGTCACTGGTGGATAGGTCACAAGCTTTGGGCTTGCTCTGCCTCTCTGGCTATGTGAGGTTAGGTAGGTAACTTCCCCTCTCTGAGCCTTTCCTACTCCCCTCATCTCCAGAGTTCCCACTAGGAAGCTGCTCTTCCCAAACATGTCACAGTAGGTCACCAACCTCCCTAAGGGACCTTCCGTAGGCCCAACAGGACCCTGAGGTTAAGACTGCATGACTAGATCAGAATCCATCCATGTTTCCGCCACTTACCAAAATGTCCCTGCAATACCCATGGTATTAACATGTATTAACAAGCTCATGGAAGAGGATCTCTCTGCCCTGACTGCTCTTTCCTATATTAACTATAAATCCCATTAATTCCAGCCAACAGACATTCACTGAGCATCTACTCTGTGCCCGGTGCCATAGTGAGGAGTTAGAGATGAACAAAACATGGTCCGTAAAAATCCAGAGCCTGCAGGAGGATTAATCCAAGACTGGATTTTACTTTTTCTATTCTGGGCTCCTTGAAGACCTGCTGTAGCAGAGACCTAGCAGGAAACCAGTGGCATATGCAAGCATGGTCACTGAGATGAGTTTAATAAAGTCTCATGTTTACAAAGGCAAGGGCAAGGCTAGAGAAAACCAGCAAGAGTTAATGCAGTATTTTGGAGTCACCATTCCTAGGTCTGAGTGGGAAAGGGAAGGAAGCAGTTACCAAAACACAGAGCGAGGGTCAGTAGCTTAGCAGGGGCTTGTCTGGGGAGAAAGGAAAGGAAAATTAGTCTGATCTCTCTCTCCCCACCTTTGGGTGTCTTGCTGCTGCCTCCCATTGGCTGAATCCAACAGGAATCCAAAATGCAAGGCGCCCACAGTGCAGTCCTTAGGGCTGACCTTCCAGCACACAGAGCAGGGGGAGGAGGGCAGAGAGAGGATCGGAAAGGCCAAACAGGTGCATCTGGCATAGCTGCCTGCTACAGAAAACTGGACATGACCCTGGGATGGACCTGACCTTCCCCCCTTTCCACCCAGGAACTTCCCTCTGATCAGCCTGAGCTGTTATTTCCAGGAATGTGTCACAGGGGGAGTTCGAGGCACAATGTGCTATCGTTGAAGCACCCCAAGAGACTCGAAGGCCCTATTGAAATTCTCTCCCTCTCCCCAACTCTCCTGGTAGCATTGCAGGATTACTGCAGCTCATACTCATCTGTCTCCAAAAGATTAAACCGTCCCCTGGAAAAGGCCACTGTGTCCCGAAGGAGAAAAGACCATTTATGCTTATTACCTCAAGAAACTGACTTTCTAGAAAAAAATGTACAGGTTGATTTCTTCCCGGCTTGAGAAGAAGCTGCTGTTTTTTAAGGGGACAGAAGAGTAGGGGGGCAGTGGTGTGTGTCTAAAAACTTTTGTCTTCCACATCAACCCCACCTCAAAGCTCTGTCTGAGCAGGAATGTTGAGAAAACCGACAACAATAGTAGCAATGAAAACAACTGACATTTATTTATTGAATTACATGCGTGGCACAATGCACTATACTTAGATGCTTATACACTCACATGCTGTACATGAATTATCTGATTGGATTGTCATATCTCCATGTAGCTGCTCCAGTTAGTGACCCCATTTCATAGATGAGGAGACTAAGGCACAGCAAGTTTAAGTGACCTACCAAACATCACAAGTTGGGATTGGACTTAAGTCTGAGTCTCTCTCTAAAGCAAAATTCCTGAACTGGGGGGTATTTTTCCCCCAGGGGACATGTGGCAATGTCTAGAAACATTTTTGATTGTCACAGCTGTGGGGAAGGAGTGCTAATGGCACCTAATGGTGCCCAGGGATGTTTCCAAATAGCCTACAATGCACAGGACAACCCCCACAACAAAGAATTATCTGGCCCCAAATGTCAGAAGTGCTGAGCAGATCCCTGCTCTAAAGTCTCCCACTACCCATCATGGTGTCTGTCCAGTCACAGTGTCCCCTCAGCAGGGGAAAATCTCCACAGGAAAAGCTCAATGGGGAAGCTCGACAGAAGATCATGCAATGCCTTCTTGAAAATGTTGGTCTTTGGCCTAAGAACATTGGGAAGCCCTGGGAGAATTCTAAACAGGGAAGAGACCTGGGTGAATTTGAATTTGAAGAAGATACTTCTGGCCACTGGGTGGAGAAGGGACCAGAAGGCCTGGGGGAGACCAGTGGGGAGGCTGTTATAACCCAGGTGATGGTGGACTGGATAAAACAGTGACAGGGAGACAGAGACAAGTATGTGGGTTTGGGATATATTTAAAAGGAGGCAAACACAACAGGACTTGGGGAGGAGAAGGAAGTATTAGAGACGCTGCCAGTCTTCTGGCCTGAGAGACAAGGTGGACATGGAATTATTCCCTTCGATTTTACAGACTTCATCTCTCTTTCTATCTTTCTGTAACTACCTCTCTATCTAACAAACAACTGTGTTTCTCACAGGGGGACAAGCATCCTCAATTTTCCTGAGAAGAGGAGTGGTCAAGGCCCACCTTCAAGGCTGCCAGGTACAGTTGGGCATGGTGCCTACAATGGGAATGATGCTACCCTAAGGTTGAGCAGCCTACATGGCAGCCTGCACATTCCGGGTTGTCAGACTTTCTGGCCTGAGTTCTTAACTTTGGGTTGACCATTCCCTAGGAAGGCCTGAGTCTCCAACTTTGGGAACAAAACTCCCAAAAGCAAGTTCATTCCACACAAGAGAAGACCTAAGTGAGCCTGACAAGCCACTATCTCTAGCTCTTTATAAGACTCCCTATATGCAGGGAAGAGAGGAGGTCGGTGGGGAACTAGGGTGAGAGGAAGTTTAGAGCCCATGAGTAGAAGTGATGGAGAGGCATATTTCAGCTTAATAAAAGAACTATCTAGGGCGCCTGGGTGGCTCAGTTGGTTAAGCCACTGCCTTCAGCTCAGGTCATGATCCTGGAGTCCCGGGATCGAGTCCCGCATCGGGCTCCCTGCTCGGCGGGGAGTCTGCTTCTCCCTCTGACCCTCCCCCTTCTCATGCTCTCTCTATCTCATTCTCTCTCTCAAATAAATAAATAAAATCTTAAAAAAAAAAAAAAGAACTATCTAACAATGAAAGATGTTGAACCATTAACATGGTGTCTCTTGGGAAGAAATAAGCTCCTGATGCACCAGAGGAACCCCAGCATCTGCGAGATGGGATGTTAGGCCAGACCTCCTCAAAGTCATGTTCAGCTCTGAGAGTGTAAGGTGAAAACGAGGCATGGTGATCTCTCCATGTTGGCCTTTATGAAGCCCAAATGATTTCTCCAACAAACTCAGAATGTCTGTGGCATCAGCTGAGAAAAATTACACCAACATCCTGACCACATCACTTACTAAAAAACACTCCCTGCAGGGCAGCGAAAATCTTCCAAATGTTTTTTTGAAATGTATCAGCGATTTGCTTGCAGCCTCTGACAGAACTTCAATAAATATTCCCTCAATGTAAACGCACTGCTCTTCCCTCTAATGAGCACTTTCTCTGCTCCCACCCACCTAAACACCCCCATGTCCTGTCCTTCCATTCAGGTAGGAGTTGGGGAGAAGATCAGACGTGATTCAGGAGATGGTGCAGGGACAGCCACGCCCACACATTGAGGTGAGTCATGAAGTGTCCTGAGGAGTCTAACTTGGGTCCTCTCCAGCCTCAAGTTTATCCTGAGCTCCAGACCCACAGAGCCAACTGTCCATGAAGTGGCTCTTCCAAGAGGTCCCGTGGGCAGCTCAGATCCTCCAGGTCCTGCTCATTGTCCCTCTCCTCCCCTCCCAAATGCACTCCTACCCCAGAGTTCCTGGTTTCACAGGACAGCACACAAGCCAGACACCCAGTCCTTCTGGAGTATTTTGGACTCTTACCGATCTTTCACTCCCCATAGCCATCTGCCTCTGTCCTAGTTTGGATTCCCCCAGAAGCAAACCTTGAGGCAAGGATTTAAACACAAGTAGTTATTTGGGAGGTGCAGGAAGCCTGAGGTGAAGGAGTGGGGAAGGGAGGTAGGATGGAAAGGAAATCAACCAAGGATGCATTTCTCAAGCCATCTGTGCTGTGGGCAGTTGAAGCTCAATTCCATGTGGGAACTTGAGGAAATGGTGTAGAAACAATCCTCCAAGTCACAACAGCATTTGTTGGTGGAGGGCACTCCTGGGGGTGGAGGGGTGTTGTTAATTCCCTGGCACTTACATCCTGTCATACCTACAGGCAGTTCCCCAGCTTCAGTGAAAGTCCTCAGGCAAAGAGATACAGATCCTGCAGCTGGAAGGAAGCCAGAAATTGGTGGCTCCAGGGTGGTGGGCAGGGCATCCACAGAGTTAGCTGTGACATCAGGTCCTATGGAAACTGTCATCTTAATAACTCCCCCATATTCTAGATTCTCCCCATTCTAGACTGCTCCAGCTCTGTCCAGGCCACCATCTGGCTCTTCGTAATCAGCACTGACGTGTCTCCCTGCCTCCAACCTGGCATCTTATTGTCTTTCTCAAAATTGCAATCTATGTAAGGTGGCATGCATCACCATTACGGTGCAGGCTCCGGTTTTGAACTTCCTGTCCCCCTTCTAGGTACATGACTTCAGGTAAGACACCCAATATTTCTATAATTGGTTTGGGGGCGTTTTGTTTGTTTTTTTCAAGTGAAAATTGCATCTTCATCATAGGATGATTGCAAAGATTAAATGAGCTGATGTATGTGAAGTGCTTAGAACAGCACCTGGGCACGTGGTGGGTATCCAATAACAAGACCTTCATTGTGTCACTCCTTGGAAGTCTTCCCTATGAACACTAGACCCTGAAGGTGTGAGCTTTGCTGCTTGCTGAAAGATTCAGAGCCTAGGGGACCCAAGTGATACTCTTGGTAAAAACTAATCACCGAGGATTGAGGATACTCTTGGTAGAGCAGATGACTTGGGACAAGGGAGCCACAAAAGTGTGAGTGCTAAGGGAGTTTGCTCATCATGGGTGTTAAACCCAAGAGCCGAGGATATAAAAGACACCTAGAGCGAAGTCCTCCCCAATCTAGGGAGGACTTGTGGTCAGAAAGGTACAATTAAAAAAGGAAAGGTACAATGTCCCGGGCAGCAATGCTCATTCTGGCAAAGGAGCAGAGTCTTCAGAATGAAGCTAATACAGGACAAAAACCTGTCTCCCAACACGAACTCACAGGGTGTCCTTGATGAGTCAAGATGACTTTGTCCCTCTGAACCTCAGTTTCCCAATCTGTAAAATGAAAATAATGCCACATACCTGATAGCAATGTTGGGAGGATTACATATAACCACACGTGTGAAAAGCCCAGGCATCTGGTGGGCTCTGGATCAAAGTTCCAGTCTGTCTTTCTTCCCACCCACATTACTAGGTGTCCTAGTCCTGACCCTGGCTGAGTACAGTGGAAACCCGATGATGATCTTGGACATTTTCAATGCCTCATCTCAACATTCTCTTGACACATCGCACTCCGTCATTGCTGTGGCAACCGCGTGTGTGCGTGGTGGGAGCCCGACAGCACCTCCCATCTCCTGCACCAGCTCTCCCTCCACTTCCGCCTGCTGCCTTCTGAGGATTTCCTTACAACCAACTAAACTCAGGCTTGGTTCACAGAAATGTTAGTGCAACTCACAATAAATAGCTGTGGCACTACCCAGGGTGACCCCGAAGGGCAGCAGGGAGAGGATTCTTCCCAGTAGGTGGGATTTTGAACACACTCGGTGGGTTCACCTGGGATGGAGGAGCAAATGTTCTGCGGTACAACTACACGTAGATTCCTGAGCAACGACGACGGTCCATCAGGTGCCTAGAAGGAGCATGATCAGAGATTAGAAACAAGGGAGTTTGGGGGAGGGGGGAGAAGCATGGGAATGAATCTGTGGGTATGGAAACAAAACACGCAGACCTTTGTGTCTCACACTGTTACACACAAAAGATCACCTAAGCAGAGAAAGCACGCAACAATTCAATAGGCAGGCTGACTCAACCAGCGGATGTCAGCCAGCCTCCTTCCTTGGCCATCTGAGTGCTATGCAGTGGGTCTATGCACAGAGCAGCCACATGGCAGGGATGGAGATGGTCCATAGGCCTAGCGATGTGGGTTCCTTCTCACTAAGGCTTACCTAGCTACTACTGCTGATGACTGCAGCAGAGATTGAAAATGAGCCCTCAAAATGCCACCGTGAGGATACTCGCTAGCCACTTGGTGGCAGATTAATTACACCAGGCTCCTTTTATTGAAGACAGGGCAGCAATCGTCCATATGGGAACTGACACCCACTCTAGCTATGGATTTATCGTCTCTGTCTGCATCACCTCTGCCAACATTTCCAATCATAGATTGAAAGAATGCGGGATCCCACATAGCTTCGCCTTGGACCCATGAAAGAGCTGACAGTGTGTGCATGAGCTGGAGATACTTGAAAATTTAAATGGTCTATCAAAGGCTCAATCGAGGAGCCACCTCTGGGATAATGGTCTGCAGAGCTGGGACACTGTCCTCCAGGATGAGGTACGTGGTGCTGGCTCGCCGATAGCTAGAATGTATAGGTCCAACGAATCAAGGGTGGAAGTTGCACTGGTCTTTCTCATCCTCGTTTTCTGATACACTCATGTTTTTGTGCTTCCCATCCTGCATCCTGTTTCCATGGGATAAATGAGGAGAGTTTATCTGAAAAAGAAAAAAAAAACCACCATTGGCATGGGTAATTCACGCTGATACTCCTACTAATGCAGCAGAAAGAAGCCTGACTGGAACCCAGGGGATTCCCTGAGGCATCTCTCGGCGCTTTCCTGACACGGGGTAGCTGCAAATGGCATTGCAACAGGTCCCAAGATGAAAACAACTAGGAGCTCAGGCTTTTCAGGAATAAGGCTTGGGTTTCCTTACCAGGCAAACAACCTACATATGCTGCAGTACTTGCCAAGAGTAAAGGAAATCTAGAAGACTAGGGATGAGAGGGATGAACAATTCCCCTGAGGATCCACGGCAGCCATGGGAACTGTAATTTAAGCAATTGATCTATTTTGAGTGTTTTTGTAGAGATTTCAGCCAACTACTACCTCGTAGACCCTTGGATAGACTGGGCTTAGAGTTAGCACAGCAGTGCAAGAGATGGACTGGAGCAGACATTTTTTATGACCTGTCTTACTTCCTCTTAGTGCACTTTTTTTTTTTTTTTGCTTCAGTTGTTGCTGTGACAACTGACTACACGTAGGTATAGTCTGACAGAACTTTATCTCAGCTATGCTATCTCTTGCTTTCTCCCCTGGGCTTTCTCTGTACCCACTGGTTGCCTTTGGAAGCCCATTCAATCTTTCTGGTGCTTGCATACATTAGTGAGTGTTTCCAGAGAAACAGAACCAATAGGAGTTGAGATAGATGATAGATAGATAGATAGATAGATAGATAGATAGATAGATAGATAGATGATAGATAGATGATAGATAGATAGATAATGGATTGATTGATTATAAGGAATTGGCTCATGCAACTATGGAGGCTGAGAAGTTCCACAGTCATCTGCAAGCTCCAGACCCAGGCAAACCAGCGGTATAGCTTCCAGTCTGAGTCTGAAGAACCAGAAATGTCAATGATATCAGCCCCAGTCTGAGAGTAGACCAATGGTCAACCTAAACAGGCAAGCAGAGAGAGAGAGAGGATTGTCCTTGTTTCCACATTTTTGTTGTATCCAGGCCCTCAACCGACTGGGTGATGAGCATCCACATGGCAGAGGGTCATCTGCTCTGCTCAGTCTACTGATCCAAATGCCGATCTCTTCTGGAAACAACCTCACAGACACACCCAGAAATAATATAGCCAGACATCTGGGCATCTGCGACCCAGTCAAGTTGACATGTAAGATGAATCACCACAGTGCATAAACTTGGAAGTGTAAGGAGGTTAACTTCCTCTGGCCTGGCATCCTTGGGTCATCTTTTGGATGATCGAGGCATCCTTGGACAAAAAGAGGACAGAAACTAGAATGTGAATATCCACCCTTCAGTACCTCGAGCAGACAATTCTGAGGCATGTTCAACATGACTCCTCAGGGGATCCCCAGTAGAACGGTGCCCTGCTTGCCCAAGGTGCTAAAAAGGTCAATCACCCATCCTTGGGTGGGATTTCCCTATTTCACAATTCCAGGTCCCCCCTTCTCCTACCCGCTGAGATCATTTTCCAAAATACGCTATATTTCCATAAGCTGGCTTGGGAAAATAACCTGCTTTCTCTGAGCCTGAGGTTCCTCTTCTATAAAAGGGGGACACTAATTACCCCTCCCCTCCAAGGTGGTTGTGAGCATTAAGTGTGAATCACTAAGTCTGGTGCCTATAGCCATCAGGGACTCAGGCAGGAACTGAGACAAAAGACAAAGCAACGTTTGACAACTTCTTTAATAAACTATTAAAATGGCTCATTTTCATCTTATTCTGTTTTTCCTCCTCTTCAGTCCCACTGGGCACCCTTCACAAAAACACACCAACTGGTACATTTTTCTCTTCGGTGAGAACCAAGTGGGGATTGGGGGGTTGGCATTCCTCTGCTAAGGACATGGGGGATGAAGCCTCAATTATTCATCGGCTCTTGTCTAAAGGAAAACCCCCCTCTCCCCCGCCCCCCCCCCCCGCAAAACGAAGATTCAGCTGTGGATGCTGCCCAGGAAAAAGCAGAGTTCTCCAAAAGCAGGTCCAGTGGTGACTCCTGTTGGAGAGTCACCTGGCTGTGCCTCTGAATTCTTCAGGAATCGGATTTTGGTTTTCATTGGTTCTGGCATCTCTTTATCCAGAGCCTCAAATGCTACATTCACAAGGTTCTCATGAATAATGCATGGTGACCTGAAAAACTCCAGGCGGGTAAATTAAAGATGAGCTTGGAAAAACCTGGATGCTGAGGCTGAATTCAGCTGTGACCACAGCCGGCTGTTCTGCTTACACAGGATCCCGACCGGTGGTTATCCATGCTCTGTCCTGAAGGCATGCCCTGCCTTCACTAGCTAATGCTATGTAGCCTCTTCAGTGCCCCAGTTCTGACCTTGGCCCTTAACAACCTTCAGAACGTACCCGTCCATGTCCCGTTTCCTCTACAGCTTATTAGGAAGTTAAAATTAACTCTCAAAACAAAGTCATGCAATACAGGGAATGATGAATGATGCAGTGTCACCCTTCCAGACCACGGATTCTTGATACTTCCTAAAGGCTGTGCTTGGACAAAGGCATCTACAGACACCACTAAAGTAAGTGAAAGAATTGGAGGAGGCATGGAAATGATCCACCAGCAAGAGTAGCGATCCGTAGAGCCCCCACATCATGGGGACACAAAAGAGACCTGGTCTTCTTCTGGCCTCCCTGCTGTCATTGCCTGGCTAAATAATCCAGGGCCAAGGGTTTCCCCTCTCCGCTTTCAGTTTCCCATTCCACAGATGAGAGAACTGAGGCCCAGAGCGACTGTCCCAGGGCCACAAAGCATGTAGATATCAGAGTCAGAAAGAGAAGAGGGACTCTCGTTTCCCGGTGAAGCCCTCTTCCTCCCCATTCTAGAATGCCACCACCCCATTCCCAGGTGAGCCATCCTGGGCAAAGGAGGGGGAAATATATTTGCAGATGATTTAAAGCAGGGATGCTTCCAGGACGCCCCGCTCCTTCTGGGTAATTTATGGATGTGTGAACAGGATGATGGGCTCATTGCTTACACCGTGTAATTCAAAAAATGCAGCTGCCCCAGAAAAATGGGTGAGAGGTATAAAAATATGTACATTTGATGGAGCATATATATGTGTTTGTAAATACAGTCTGTTATTGCTCAGTGTTATTATATATCCATCATCTTTCTTTGGGTTATTGGAAACATAAAAATCTTAAAGCACTAAAAACACAAAGAACGATAAGTCACCCAGGAAAGTATATCTTCTCGGGGATGATTTTATGTCGGGAACAGTTTGTGCTTTCAGAAAATAAAGTCCTCGCACCGCCAGGGAGGGAAAAGTAGACAGAGGATGGCGCTGGACGGTGGTCCCTATGAGCCCCTGGGCAAAAACAGGTCTTCCAAGTGGTGGGTGGTCAGTGGGGTCAAGGGGAAGAAGTACAGGGCTGAGGGCCCACGCCGGCGGAAGCGCCACCCTCTGCAGCTCTGGGGCCTTGCCTCGCTCCTTACCTATAAACGGGCCCAGAACGCCCACTGGGGCATCGCAGGGCTCCGCGAATATTATTAGTTCCCTCCCTCCAAACCACCCTGTTCTGAACAAGCGTCTAGGTGGATGCACCAAAAAATGATGTATCAGTCCCTCTCTCCCCGGATCCTCTCCTCACAGCCAAGCATCCCAACCATGAAGTGGAATCATAAACTAAATTCCAAGCAGCGGACATAGTCAATAGCACGGACGTGATTTTTAAGTGAAATTAATGATTTTTCGAATATAGATTTCCTCTCCAGGCACATGCCTCCACAACTTTGGAGACTCAGGCTTCTACAAGCCTCTGGCGATAGGGCGGTGGCCTGGGATTCCGCTGCAGAGTCACGTGTTAAGGAAGCCTGGAGGGGAGCGTGGGGCGGGGGCGGGGGCGGGCGGGAAGCAAGCGGCCAGGGTCACGTGTGCCGGGGTCTTTTCACAAGGTAGATGGAGGACACGAACCCCAGAACCGTGGAGGTGGAAAGCAGCGGACCCCTCCCCCGAGCCCGCCCCTGTCAGACCCACCGCCCCGCTGCTGCCGCCCGCTCCCTCCAGGCTGCACTTGGTGCATCTGAAAATGAGGGGCCTGCAATGAGAGCGCTTTAAGGACTTCTCCTTGGATGCGTAGTTGGGATGGTACACATTCTTTTTCATTCACCTCCAAATCCCCAGCATGTAGAATCCTAGAAAAAGGTCCATACATGGTAGGGGCTCAAGAAAGGTCTGTTTCCTTGATTAATTTTGTGTGCTTTCTTCAGAAGTTCACTTAAGTGACCCCAGAGGTAATAGATCGATTCCATTAATGTCCCCAAATAATGGCCTCTCTGTGTCCACAGCCTTTGCAATTTGTCCCCGCTTGGACCCTGGACTCAGTTTCCACCAATGGGAGAGTGGCAGACTTGACACAAGCAGAAGTTTGCAGATGCACGCCC